AGGTTTCAACAGCTAGGGTGGATGATTTACATCTGGCTAGGTCTGTTCTAAGTTCTTCGTCCATGAGTACCAGCTGAGTTCAGCCCCATGTTGCTTTCTGCTATGATAGAGCAGCATTGAGTTCCAGTGCAAAGTCCCATCATCACTGCACTCTCCGTCCCCCAAATGCAGATTATTTTTGCACACCATATGGCCACTACAGGGGGATGAGGGAAGGGTGGTATAGGTAATTCAAAACAGTTTTTCCTACCTGCTTCAATGCCTCTTTCCTTACTATGATGTTAAGACCAGGTATTATGATCACTTACCTGATTTTCAGTTCTTATGCAGTTGCTTTTTTGTGTGGATGATTGTTCAAGTTGGTGTTCCTATAGGGGGATGATCCCTGGAGGCTTCCATTTAGCCATCTTGCTCCACCTCTAATTCCAAAGCTGGTTCTTTGAAAATCAAGCTGAGGGAAAAGTTTTATACACAGGAACACTTGAATAATTGAACACAAATGTTTACTGTAGTTCAGAATTAGTAGAATATTCAACAGGTTACCATTGGCATGTGGGGAGCAAGAGACCACTGTGGCTAAAATGTATTGTTTTAGAGGGAAACCTGAAATGGACTGCAGTGTTCCTGCTATGCTGACTCAAAAAAAAAAAGAAAGAAAAGAAAAATTCTCGCAAAGTAGACAGTCATCAGGGTTTCCAGCAGTCTTTTTGAGCCTTGTTGAAGAAATTGTTAATCTTCTCATTCATACCCGCAAACTCCTAGGCCTCCATATCTAAGATTTGAATTACTATTGTAACTTCTTAACTGTTCTCCATGCATGTAATCCCCATGTTTAGATAGCCTTTTCTGTTAGCCACATATTGCAAGTTCATTTTCCTCCTTGGGCTTCCTAACAGCCATCAGCTATGATGAATTTATTGTCTATCTCTGCTTTGCTATTTTGTCTTTTTTTTTTTTTTAATTGTACTTTAGGTTCTGGGTTACATGTACAGATCATGCAGGATTGTTGCATAGGTATATACATGGCAAGGTGATTTGCTGCCTCCATCCCCCCGTCACCTATATCTGGCATTTCTCCCCATGTTATCCCTCCCCAACCTCCCCACTCCCCCACTGTCCCGCTCTTTTGTCTTTTGTATCTGTAAAGGAATAAACAGACTTTTTAACTCTCTACTTCCACTTAACACAGTCTCCATATGTGGGGGTTGTTTCCCCATACACCAAGTAATTCTCCAATGGATACCAACCCGGTGTCCTGTGATTCAGTTCAACCATGTCACTGTCTACCTGGAGATAGCATCAGATTTTCCACAGGATAAGGGCTGAGTAAGATTGCCACCACTTCACATGCCAGTTGCAAGTTCCAGGTTGTTACCTATGCTTCTCACCGCCTCACCTTGAGTTAGAATAATTTGCTAGAATGCCTCATAGAACTCAGAGGGATACTTTACTTCTGTTGCCTATTTCCTGTAAAGGATATCACAAAGGATATACATGAACAGCCAAATAGAAAAGATGCACATAGAGCAAGTCATTTGGGAAGGGGCTTGGAGCTTCCATGCTGTCTCCAGGTGCACCACCTTCCAGGCACCTCAGTGTGTTCGATAACCTGGAAGCTCTTAAAATTCTGTCCTTTGGGTTTTTACAGTGGCCTCATTACATAGGCATGATTGATTAGATCATGGGTCATTGGTGATAAGCTCAACCTTCAGCCTCTCTCCTCTCCCTGGAGGTTGGGAGTGGGGCTGAAAGTCTCAACCTTCTAGTCATATAACTTGGTCTTTCTGTTGACTAGCCCCATCTTGAAGCTCAGTAGGGCCTCCAAGCCACCAGTCATCTCATTATCATACAAAAGACACTCATCACTTCCAGAGATTCCAAGGATTTTAAGAGCGTGTGCTAGGAACCAGGAGCAGAAACCAAATATAAATTTATCACAATATCCTTGAATTATTGTTTTCAGTACCTAGTGTGGAATACCTGGTATATATGTCTTTCCCCTTTTTGAAAAGGTCAAAAGACAATTATTGTTGAATCCTCAGCACCTGACACTAAGATAGCAAATAGTAGATGTGCAATAAATGTTTAGTGGATTGAATTGAGTACCTGCCCTACCTACTTTCTCTTTCTGAAATATCCTTACTTCTTTTGTCTATGCAAATTCTTTTCCTCCTTTAGAACTCACCTGTTCAATGAAATATCTCCTGCCTGCCCATACTGATTTATGAACTTACTGTATTCATATGCTGTGCCACACAGTAAACTCTAAGAAATTTAAAGCAATGATATGTGTCCAAAGCATTTCTGTAATATGTTGATTAATACAGAAACAAAATTACTAGTTAAGCTATTAAAAACAAATAGTTACTCAGTACTTTTTTGTGGTAAGGCACTTTGCCAGTCTTCAGGGGATAAAGGTAAATATTTTCTTCAGGAGGTTACAGTTCAGTAAGAGGGATAAAACACATAACAGGTAAGTGGTAAGTTTCATAAGGGATGTCTTTTGAGAGTTCAGAATAGGCTAGTTGGAGAGTAAAGGTTGGAGAATTTGATTGCTATTGGGCAAAATTTAAACTCCTTAAAGTAGGCATTATTATGCCTGTCTTATTAATGAGAAAAAATGACACCCAGAGAATTAAGGGATTCTGACCAAGCTCATAATGATCCTTAACTGATAGAGCTGAAACTTAACAACTTAAACCTATTAAGTGTACCTGTGGAATCTCTTCCTTTAATTGCAACACCAGAACTTAGACATGGTACTGAAAGGGTTAGCACCACTGATTGGATACAGGGAATAATGAAGTAGAGCAGGAAAAAATAACATCAGAGATTGCCTGAATGATATGATTAAGAAAGTGATAGTGCTATTGGTAACATTGAGCACAAGGTAAGACATAAGAGTACAAGGAAAAGTCAGTTAATTTGGGGCATACTAATTTTTAGATACCAATAAGGAGGGGACATCTAGCAGTTAGAAATGTCAGACTGGATGTGAAATGCAGTTTAAAGTAGGAAAACCTGAATGGCCAGAAAATCTATAAACGCATGTCTAACTTTAGTAGGAATTGTGGAAATAAAGTTAAAAACATGAGCTACCTCATGTTTTTCCCACCTACTAGATTGGAGGGAAATAAGAATTCTTTATACAGTACTAGTTTTAGAGCTATTTGGCAATAGCTAATAAAATTAAATTTGCATATACTCAATAACTCAGAAATTTCATTTTTAGGTAGCTGCCTTAGACAAATGATTTGTTTGTTTTTGAGATGGAGTCTCACTCTGTTGCCCAGACTGGAGTGCAGTGACACGATCTCAGCTTACTACAACCTCCACCTCCCGGGTTCAAGCGATTCTCCTGCCTCAACCTCCTGAGTAGCTGGGACCACAGGCATGTGCCACCATGCCCAGCTAATTTTTGTATTTTTAATAGAGATGGGTTTCACCATGTTGGTCAGGCTGATCTTGAACTCTTGACCTCATGATCCACCTGCCCCAGTCTCCCAAAGTGCTGGGATTGTAGGCGTGAGCCACCACTCCTGGCTTAGACAAACTCATATATGTGCAAGAATGTTCATTGCAATGGTGTCTATAAAGGTGAAAAAATTTTAATGTTCCTTAATTAGAGAATAGATAAGTCATAATATACAATAGACTATTACGCAGTAAAGTGAACTATATCTTCCTGTATCAACATGGATAAATACAAAAAAGTAGAGTGAAAGATGAAAGTTGTATTTTGTTACTATTGATGAGAAAATTAAAAACCTACGTCATTCAACCAGGCGCCAGTGGCTTATGCCTGTAATCCCAGCACTTTGGGAGGCCAAGGTAGGTGGATCACTTGAGGTCAGGAGTTCAAGACCAGCCTGACCAACATGGTGAAACTCCGTTTCTACTAACAATACAAAAAATAGCTGGGTGTGGTGGCGGACACCTGTAATCCCAGCTACTCAGGAAGCTGAGGCAGGAGAATCTCTTGAACCTGGGAGGCGGAGGTTGCAGTGAGCTGAAACTGTGCCACTGCACTCCATCCTGGGCAACAGGGTGAGACTCTGTCTCAAAAAAAAAAAAAAAAAAAAAAACCAAAAAACCTATGTTATTCATATGTGTGTGTTAATTTTTTCATATGGGCATATGCACATATAGAGGATTGTGAATTAGAAGAATAAATGCTATTCTTGTTGTATGTGTCCCCTTTCTCCCTTTTTTTTGCTTGGGTATTTTAAAGCATATCTCAAATCATGTTACTAACAGATACTGACTTAAACACACACGAAGCCTGAGTATTTCCACACAGATTAAAATTAATAATCCTGAATAATAGATCTAAGACTAGTTTTCTGTTAAATTTTTTTCAGTTACCTCAAAGTTGTCTTTTTTTTTTTTTTCTTGAGGTGCATGCAATCTTGCTCTGTCATCCAGGCTAGGGTACAGCAGTGCGATCTTGGCACACTGCAGCCTCCACCTCCCAGATTCAATCAATTCTCCTGCCTCAGCCTCTGGAGTAGCTGGGATTACAGGCACCTGACTAATTTTTGTATTTTTAGTAGAGATGCGGTTTTACCATGTTGGCCAGGCTGGTCTCGAACTCCTGACCTCAAATGATCTGCCAGCCTTGGTTGCCAAAGTTATGGGATTGCAGGTGTGAGCACCCTGTCAAAGTTGTCTCTTTTATAGTTGGTTAAGATTCCAGCTAAGTCCCCGCATTGCATTTGGCTTAATGTCTGTAAAAGAGTCTCTTTTTAAAGCTTATAATTCTCAGGTCCAAAAAAAAAAGTCTTTTTTAAGGAGTGATTTTTATTATTTGTTTTAAACAAAAGTGTTATGATTTTATCATCCCCTCCCCCTCCCCCTCCCCCTCCCCCTCCCCCTCCCCCTTCCCCTCCCCCTCCCCTCCCCTTCCCCTTCCCCTCCCCCTCCCCCTCCCCTTCCCCTTCCCCTTCCCCTTCCCCCTCCCCTTCCCCTTCCCCTTCCCCTTCCCCTTTCCTTTTTTGTAGGTTAGAACCATCAGAGAGCCTTGAGGAAAACCAGCGAAACCTCCTTCAGATGACTGAAAAGTTCTTCCATGCCATCATCAGTTCCTCCTCAGAATTCCCCCCTCAACTTCGAAGTGTGTGCCACTGTTTATACCAGGTATGCTCACAGTTAGAGATTACCATTATCAACCTAAAGTTAAATTATGAAGAATGCTTTATTTATCCAAGAAGATCTAGCTGCTGATTGTGTGGCATTAACTATTATACTGAGTCAGTTTGGATAAATAATTCATTGAGAATTGTTATTGGAATTGTCTTTGAAAAAAACTTAAATCTTACTTAGACAACAGTTTGAAGTAAGAGAATACTTTAAAATACTAAATTTTCCTTGCATTGGAAGTAAGTTTAAAATGCACTGAATCCATTGGGTATGATGGATGTGGCTGAAATGAACATATTATAGATTTTGTTGTTGTTATCTATTACCTAAATTACTCTGAGGGTGTTTCACAGTTGAGATGGGTATCCTTCTTGCCTTTTGCATTCCAAATTGCTTAATCATCTGTAATTTTGGTTTCTTCATTCCTGTATAATAATTGTCAGGTTTTCTCAGGATAGACTGATTGTTCTGTTTAATTTATGTAGCACATTTCTTAAAAGAGATATTGCATCATCATTCAGACCAGATTATTAGACTTTCTAACACTAGCACTGAAGTAATGCTTCTGAATTCAGAAGATATCCATAGTCATGCCCTTCTTTTTGAGGAATTAGGTCTATGTTCTTTTACGCCTTCTGTGTTTTTGAATTGCACGTTACAGTGTCAGGAATAATTTATTCCTAGGGAGGTCCTGCAAATGCACATTAGGCTTTTGGAAACTATGATTCTGGAAGAAATATTAGTGGGTCTGGAATTTGGGGTAGGGGTGGGTATAAGGGTAATACACAGTTATCAAAACCCATGTCTTCTGTCTCTCTCTTTGCAGAGTCATCGCAGCCATTTGTTTTTTTTTTAACATATGGCTTCAGTTGCTTAGAGACGTTAACAGCATCAGTGAAATCACCATTTTAAAAGCTGTTTGAGGCTGCGCTATGTGAATTTTTTCCCCATTGCTGTTTTTAAAGATGTATCTGTTCTATCTATAAAAAAGCTTTTCATGGTATACATATATGATGAAACATACTTCACATTGTCTCTCTTAATTTATCATGACTTTTCTGCCTTTTCAAAAAGGGTCAAGAAAACTTAAGAAAATCTTATATAATTTTTTCAACTAGTTAAATCTGAGTCTAGTTATAATATGAAACTTAATACAATGAATATCTTAAGTTTGGGCTCTATTCAGGTTTCTCTTTAAAGTTTATTTAGTAATTGTTTTATTGATGAAACTAGGCAGGCAGGGAAATAGAATCTATTAAAAATAGTTTGGGTCAGCTTCTTGGTTGGCCTAGTAGTAACTGGTTTCAGAGAGCAAATGGGTTTCTTTTCTTTTTTTTTTTTCTTTTTTTTTCTTTTTTTTTTTTGAAACAGAATTTTTTTTTGGATGGGAGGACAGAGTCTTGCTCTGTTGCCCAGGCTGGAGTGCAGTGGCTCGATCTCAGCTCACTATAACCTCCGCCTCCTGGGTTCAAGCAATTTGCCTGCCTCAGCCTCCCGAGTAGCTGAGATTACAGGCATGTGCCACCACACTTGGCTCATTTTTTGTATTTTTTTTTTTTTTTTTTTTTTGTGATGCTTTATTCTTTTTTTTTTTTTTTTTTTTTTTGGGAAAAAGAGAAAAAGAAGGGGGAAAAAAAAAAAAGAGGGAAAAAGGAATATTACTTCATTCCTAAAATGGGTTTCAATAATGGCCGATCAATATTTTGAGTGTTTAAAGTGGTTAATGCATATTTTATGTGTTTAAAATGGAGACCTCTATTGTGTTTATTTGTTCTGGCTCTGAGTTCAAATCCTGGATATCGTTATCAATTTGTTGTCTCGTTGAATCTAAATCTCACTATGTGTCTTATGTATCTGGGTGTTAAGATCTCTTATTGTTACATTAATCCTTTTACCCTTGTATCCTTATAGCTTTGAAATCTATTTTGTCAAATGTGAAAATTGCAACTCCTGCTTTTCATTTATTTATTTTTGCTCTCCATTTGGTTGGTACGTTTTTTTTTTTTTTTTCCAACCCTTTATTTTGAGTCTATGTATATCTTTGGATATACCGTTGGAATTTGTCTGTATCTTTTGATTGGGAGATTTGGTTGATTTAACTTTAGGGTTACTGCCATTTGATATTAACTGGCTATTTTGTCCTTTTGTTGATAAAAATTCTTCTTTATGTTAATGCTCTTTACTTTTTGGTGTATTTTTAGAAAGGATCATACTGGTTGTTCCTTTCTGTGTATAATGCTTCTGTTAGAAGTTCTTGTAAAGCAGGCCTGGTGGTAATAAAATCTCTGAGTACTTGCTTGTTCCTAAAAGATTTTATTTTTCCTTCAAATGTAAAGCTTAAATTGGCAGGATATGAAATTCTGGGCTGAAAGTTTTGTTCTTTAAGTATATTGAATATTGGCCCCCACTCTCTTCTAGCTTGTAGGGTTTCCATTGAGAGATCTGCTGTAAGCCTAATAGGCTTACCTTTATGGGTAACTTGATCTTTCTCTCTGGCTGCCCTTAATATTTTCTCCTTCATTTCGATCTTGGTGAATCTAACAATTATGTGCCTTGGGGTTGGTCTTCTTGAGGAATATCTTTGTGGTGTTCTCTGTATTGCCTGGGGTTGAATAGTGTCCTGCTTTGCTAAATTAGGAAAATTTTCCTGGATAATGTCCTGGAGAGTATTTTCCAGCTTGAATTCATTCTCTCCGTCACATTCAGGTACACCAATCAAGCATATATTAGGTCTTTTCACATAGTCCCATATTGCTTGGAGACTTTGCTCATTCCTTTTTATCCTTTTTTCTCTATTCTTGTCTTGTCGTTTTGTTTCATTAAGTTGGTCTTCGACCTCTAATACCCTTTCTTCTGCTTGATCCATTTGGCTGTTTAAGCTTGTACATATTTCACTCAGTTCTCGTGTTGTATTTTTCAACTCCATAAGTTCATTTGTATTCCTCTCTATATTGTCTATTCTTTTCAACATTTCATCGAACCTTTTTTCCAAGTTCTTAGTTTCTTTACATTGGGTTAGAACAAGTTCCTTTAACTCCCATAAGTTTCTTATCATCCACCTTTTAAAGCCTACTTCAGATAATGGAACACAGTCCTTTTCCATCAGGGCTTGTTCCGTTACTGATGAGTCCTTTTCCATCAGGGCTTGTTCGGTTGTTGATGAGTCCTTTTCCATCAGGGCTTGTTCCGTTGCTGATGGGTTCTGATTTTGAGTATATTCAGCCTTCTTAGGCTGTTTTTTTCCCTTCATTATAGATGAACCGCCTTTCTAATTAGTTTTCTGAGTCGACGTCCGACTTACTGATTCCCAGTGCTGGGATCCGAGCCACCCACTGTGGCAGCCTAAATAGCAGCGATAAGACTGATGGTGCTCTTCTGCCCGGGAATCTCTGGTCTGGCTTCCCTCTTGAGTCCGCAACAAGCGGCTCTGACTTCCCGGAACTCCAAACTCTGGTCAGTAGGGGAAGCAGTCCCGTTGGCTCTGCGTGAAGAGCTGCTGCGCCGAGACGCTGGCAAAACCGCTGCGGCAGCCACAAGAGTCGCGCTGGCGACCGGTGGGGCTCCTCCACTGGGAATTGGCTAATCGGTGAGTGACGAAAATTCGTCTAAAGATGTGGCGTCGTCTCGTTCTCTGAGCTTTCACTGGGAGCTACAATCCTGAGCTGTTAGTGGTCGGCCATCTTGAATCTGGATCCGCAAATGGGTTTCTAAAATGACAGTTGCTTTAACTTTAGCTGGCTAAAAGTGAATGGGACTGACTATATGAATACATGGTCTGGAAGATTTTAGTAGAATTTCTTCATGTGGTTGTCATCCTAAAAGACAAATCTTTTTGTATCATCAGCAAACTTAGAGGCCAGTTTGAGACCATGATTCGGATAATGTAAAAAGGAACAAGTCTTAGCACTAACTACTTCCTAAGTACTAACTAAAGTACTTAGGAAATATTTAATGAAGAAATAAATTTTCTCATCCCTCCCACCTAAGTAAACAAGATTCTTGCCAACTTTCATAGTTAGGAAAGGAGAAAAATAGTGAAAATAGATTTTAAAACACTGTATGTTGTGATTATTAAACACTACATGTTATGCTTTTTAGGGCACTTCACAGTAAAATATCCTGTATTATCTTCATAACAAACCTGGATTATTATGTTAAAATTTCACATAAAATTATCTTTAAAAACATGAATTAAATGTGGCATCAGTGCCTTGTTTTAAGTATTGGATAAACGTAGCATCATTGAAGAGTAGAGACAGCATGCTAAATAAGGATTTGTTTTTTAATTAGTAACCGGTAACAGAGAATTTTACATTTACTGATTAGAAAGATAGGAGAAAAGCTTTCATATTTTATTTAGTCTCCTTCACAAACCTAGTTTTTTTCCTTTTGGTTTGCTTTTTTGTTTTTATTCATCTTTCCTCTTGGCTTTTTTTTTGCCCTTTTGCCTTTGAGGGTAACAGAAGAGTACCTTTGTACTTTCATGTTCTGCTTGGAGGGTTAGTAGTCCTGTGGCTCCTGCTTTGGGACCTACTGGGGAAATTTTGAAAGCGAAGTGAGTATATTGCTAGCTAATAAACTTCCCTGGGCTTTAGCTCCTTTTTTGAGTTTGTATTTTCACCTTTAAGCCTTTTCGGATTATGCTTTAACCAGCTCTATTACTTTATATACCTTCCTTCCTTAGTTGACTGGATTAAGGTTATATAGGAATAGCCAACTGTGAACATGTGTCAGAATTAAGTCATTTTCTCTTGTGTTGTTTTCACTTCTGCTGATGGTCTTAGGATAAAGTTATTCCCAGAGAGGATACTCTCTTATGTTATGGTGAGAGAATTCTAAGAACTAATTTATGATTCTAAATAAATCTCGTCCTTTTTCAGTAAATCTGCTTCTCTAAACTGAAGTAGTTTACACAAATTTTTAAGGCTATAAGTGATAGTTATGTACCATGGTTACTAATGCATTTGTATATAGTCTGAAGTTTGAAACAAAGCTCTGTGAGCTAAGGGACTGTGTCTTCTGTTTTACTGCTGTTTCCCAATATCTAAAATAGTATCTGACATGTAGGTGCCCAATAACTGCTTGGATGGATGAATAGGTGGATGGATGGAAGGGGGATGGATGGATGAATGGATGGGTGGATGAATGGATGTCTAACTAACTAACTTTAAGCCCAAGTTATGGGTTATGGTGTTGGATGCCCAGAAGTCCTAGAATAACATGCCACCTATTTGTGGATTAAATAATTCTAACTTGGTTTTTAAAGTATTTTAAAAATAATTATTCTGCCTAGGCTAGTCCAATCAAGAGTTTTTAATTTTGAAAGAACTCTTTGGTCTAGAAAAAGCTCTGAGAGATGAAACCAATATGTTTCTGGAGTTTTGGTTTTTTTTAGGTGGCTTTTTTTTTTTTTTTTTTTTTTTTAGACATTTTGATAAATGGTCACCTGTAATATGTGAAGTTTTAAGCAGGCCTGCAGTTTTGTTCTGTAATTTTCTCTGCAGTTTCTTCACTTTAATAATATTAATGCTTTTTACTAGTGAGCTGATAACCTTCTTCTCCCAAATGTTGCAGAACTTTTAACCTCCTCTGATTAGAACCATTTCAGGAAGTAGCCTGCAAACATTGAAAAATATGTGAAATGTTAAGAATAATCTTTTTTAGAGAGAGGGGTCTTTAATTCAGAATTTCTTAAGTAAAGTTTTATATTTATCCATATAATTTTTATTTCTTTATTCAATAGGATCTTAATTAAATGCCAGGTATTGGAAAAAAACTGAAAGTCAATTGAAGGATACACAGAGAAGAATTTTACATATGAAGAAAAAAATTATGTAGACACAAATGTTTTTAGTGTGTGATCTACTTTTAATGAATATTTTATATAAAATTTCTCAAAAGCTAGGCATTAACTAAAATGTAAATATTTAATATCCTCAAATTCACTTGGAGAGAGTTTTTCTGTGATTAATAGCCAGAAATAGTAGACATGATTGGATCTCAACATTTCTTGCTGTTTGAGTGCTTGGCTTAAAAATGTAATAAAAATTAAAACCCAGATTTAAAATTCATTCCTCAAAATTCAGTTGATTTCTAATTTTTTGTTGATTCCATTTGTGTTACATTTTATCGTGTAATTTTATGTACAAGCCAACGTTGTTTTTGTTGCTGTATGTAGTCGGTGCTGTGACTTGTTTGTGCTCATCTCTGTTCTGTAGGCAACTTGCCACTCCCTACTGAATAAAGCTACAGTAAAAGAAAAAAAGGAAAACAAAAAATCAGTAAGTTTGGAGAACTTTTTATTAGCTGTTTCTTTCAAAGCAAAACAAAAATCTTTTGCTGTTTGTTAAGAACATCTTCACTTTAGCCTATTTGACCTTCACTGTAAAATCATTCTACTAATTCTGGCACAAAATAGCTTTCATTTCAATTAACCCTGGAATTAAGTTACATTGAAACATTCTCTGTGTTCCTTTGGTTTGATTTATCCCAAAGGCAATTTGTGGACATTTGTTGCATTGGATATCTTTGGTCTAATTTTATTGTTACTTTTTAAATTATAAATGAATACAAAGAAACTTAATTTCAAGGCCTTAGGAAATGCTGACTCTCTTCATTCTTGCTTCTTGTTTGCAGGTAATGTGAGTGGTTTCTTTTCCCAGAGATGACAGTGTTTCTTAATTGTTAGAAGTATATGGTGGGAAAGTGTCACTTTCTAAACCTTGCCTAAAAGTTGCTAAATTTTATTTTTTTACTCTTCATATTTTTTATCTAGGCAGTTTTGGCCATAATTTAGATATTTGTGCATAGATCATAGAAACTTTAATGGTAAAACTATTTTTATCTCAGAAAAAATATGAGTAAATAATGAGATAGTACTTTCAAGATAAAACTGAGTTCAAATTTGTAGAAAAACACATCATTCTGCAAACATAATGTGAATATACTATCAGCTTCTATATACTTGCCCTAATTTATTTAAAAGGAAGAAATTTATGAGATTCATAGTTATTTTCTTATAGTTAATGGAATTTTTCCAAAATATAACATGCATTCATTTTATATTTATTGTTATCTGTCAGCATGACTTATCAGGCTGAGCCCTATCTTTGTTCATACAATCCAAATGATTGTAGAGTAAGATGTAAAGAAAACTTTAGGAGTCAGGTAGGTAGTTTTCTTAAAAAGTTATAATTTAGAATACAGTTTTCATCTGGTTTTGTCTTTTATTCCTTGTCTGAACTTTACATATAATAAAGCTTTATGGCTGGGCACAGTAGCTCATACCTGTAATCCCAGCACTTTGGGAGGCCAAGGTGGGAGGATCTCTTGAGACCAGGAGTTCAAGACCAGGTTGGGCAACATAGTGAGTCATCTCTACAAATAATTTTTTTTTAATTAGCCTGGCGTGGCGATATACTCTATAGTCCCAGTTACTTGGGAGGCTGAGGCAGGAGAATTGCTTGAGCCCAGGCAGTTGAGGCTGCGTTGAGCCGTGATTGTGCCACTGTACTCCAACTTGAGTGACAGAGTAAGACCCTGTCCCCCCAAAAATAAAATAAAATAAAAAAGAAAAAGCTTTACATATAAGTTTCTTAGCTTTACATATAAATTGTCTAAGCTTTAAATACAAATTTTTAAAAATTTAAATCAAAATTTAAATTTACAGACATACACTTTTGTTGTATCCATTGAAGATTTTATTTTGAGTATATTAAGTAAATTCGACTAGCTATGATCTCATTGACTGGATTATAAAGATTTCTTTCTAACGCTTCAGCCTTCTAATTCTCAGCATACGTGAGTTTAACAATGTACACCATCATTGTTGAAATTAATTTGCTGCTTCTAACACTCTTGTTCAGTGTTATACTAATGCCATTTTGTAGTGTATCACATAATTAAAATTCAGCCTTTCTGTGTTTCTCTAGAGCATGTTTTCTAGCCTTCCTAACATTGCTTTATTTATTAAGATTTTGTCTAAAATTGTTTCTTGAAATGTTTTTTTTCTACTAAAGTTATGTTCAAAAAAAATTTTTTTTGGTAATTTCTGGGTAACGCTAAGTTTTGGAATATATTTCTCAGCACAGGTAATATGAGCTCCTCATGGAAACAAGGGGAATCTAATTGGTAATTTGAGACATTTCAGAGAACGTTCCAAAGTATGAAGACAGTATACTCATAAATTTAAAATGTTGTTTTATGGAGTTGTATGCTTTAACAAAATGTAATGATCCTTCCTTTAAGAGCAAGCCGATTTTCTTTTCGGGTATATGTATCATGGATTGGAATAAGTAAAATATAGAGAGAAGAGCTGGCTTCTAGTATATAGCTGTGTCGTCATATTACAGATAACTGTTTATTATTCTCAAACATAGGGTGTATAATGAGGTTTACTTTGGAAGTTAACTGTCTGCCTAACTCACGGAGAATGCTGTAACTAATCATGTATGAGTAGTAATGCTCTTGCTGAAGTGCAGTTTATGACTGCATGCATTTGCATTATGTAGTTCAGCTTTTACCAACGGAAGAAAGGGGACATTTGGCTGATAACTGGTCTCAACACACAAACTGGCCCAACTTTGACATTTTGTGCAGAATATCTTTTGGATCCAAATTAGATTTTTATGAATTAAAAAACCACTAGAGAATGTATGTATTATGAGGTAAAATTACATTGCTGTCAATTAGTGGTGAATGAAAAAAGCAGTCCTTTTTATAAGTTGACTTATGGAACTTGTTATATAACATTTTTATTGATGTTGATTTTTTAATCAGTCTTTAGTTCTAAAATTACATTGATTCTGCCATCAGTGAGATATATGTATATGATACATGAAACAGTATGTGTTCTTCAGGTGTGGCTATTTTGGGTTTTGATGTGAATTATTTTTAAAGATGTGGAAGATGGTAAAAGTGTGATTTTTTGGTAAACTTTACAATATTCTTTTGGGAAATCACTCAGCATTTCATTAAATTCTGATGCTGGGTACCATTAAGTATAAATCAAGTGTAAATATAAGGCACACTTTAAAACTCCTTTGTCCTGGGGGAAACCAGTAAATCTAGCTACTTTCAAAAAAATGTTTTGTCCAATTGATGATTACCATTACAAGTTCCTTGTTCCTTCTCCACTCCCAGTTTACTAGCATAAAAAAAAAGTTTTTTGAAAGCTCTCCATGTGTTTCACAGCAGGTTAACATTTTATAAACTAACTGGTTCTTTAAAATTAAACTGTGGCTTTTAGCTTTTTAAAAACCATTTTAGGGTTTTAATAGGTTAAATTGTTTAGATGCTAATTCTTTTAAAACAATCTATTTTAAAATAATTATAAAGCAATTTTTAATCATTTTCTCTCCTGCTAACTCACTCCTTAAAGGCTTTAAAATGTTATAGGTTTGTTTTGTCTGCCTTCTTCTTCTTCTTCTTTTTTTTTTTTTTTTTGGAGACAGTCTCTCTCTCTCTATCAGTCAGGCTGGAGAGCAGTAACAAGATGGCTCACTGCAACCTCCAGCTCCCAGGTTCAAGTGATTCTCCTGCCTCAGCCTCCCAAGTAGCTGGGATTACAGGCATATGCCATCACACCTGGCTAATTTTTGTATCTTTAGTAGAGATGGGATTTCACCATATTGGCCAGGCTGGTCTCGAAATCCTAGCCTCAAGTGATCCACTTACCTTGGCCTTCCAGAGTGCTGGAATTACAGTCATGAGCCACCATGCCCAGCCAGAGAATTGTCTGTTTTAAGATTAAAATTTGGGAGTTTTAAAAGAACCACTCAGTAGCAATGATGGTCTATGAATATTCTAAAATTATGTGAAGAAGTTTGTCGGTGTGAATGCATACATTCATTTTTCTAACCTTTATCAGATTTCAAAGAGGTTCCTTGTCCCCAGAAGGTTGAACTGTACTGGAATAGTCAAAGCACTCGAATTTTTTCTTAACTCTATATCTCTAGTTTTAGCTAAAACTTCTATATCTAATTCTAAATTTATATATTTCAGCTAGTATATAGGTTTTAAAGTCATTTTAATAAAGCAGCTATATTTAGCCACCTTTACCAGTTTCCCCTTATTTCAGTGTTAAGGTTGTTCTTCATGCAGTAAGCACTGTAACAAAGAAAGCTTTCTGCACTATGTGTAGTGTTCCTGAAGGTGGGACTGTATTAGTTACAACTCATCTCTTTTATCACCTCTTACAAATATTTTATTCTCTAAAATCTAATTTTTACCCACTTCCTATTGATTATAGAAAGCTATTTTGAGGTTATAAGCAGATAAGAACGACTTTAAAATGTGGACTGCATGAAGCACTACATTAAACAGGTTGCAGTGAAATAATTCATATTCTTTCAAGAGTTATTCTGGAGTCAGCCATGTGAATTTATGACAGGAATATTAATTTATTGAGGCATTGTGAAAAAAAATAGTTATGTGATATTCCGCATGTAAATCTGCACCCCTCCCAACCAATATCCTTTGAAATGAAGGTTTATCCTTGGAATCACAGAATATTGAGTGGAATGCTACAGCTTTGTAATCACTGCTACTTTATTTATTTTTATTTATTTTTTTGCTGAATCCTAACCACTAAACCACCAGGGATAGTCACTGCTACTTTAAATAGCAGTTAGCCACACTAAGCAAGAATAGCTGTAGAGATTAAAATGTTACGTTAAATGTTCTTTAAAAATAAATATATATAGTATATATAAAAATGTAAATTACTATTAATATAATTTTCATATAGAACATGATTTAAAGCAGGGGATGCTGGGAAGGTATGGGAGCTAAACCAGTTTTATAGCACTCTTTCCAATCTAAGGTACCTTTTACTTTATCTTAATGTAGAATGTTTTATAAAGGGAAAATAAGTACACTTTAAATATTAGGTTCACATTGCTTTTCAGGCTGGATGACTGTTTCTTGCATTCTTAAATTTTTTTTTTGTTTGTTTGACAGAATTATAAATTGAGGCAGACATAGGGTTTCTCTCTTCTGGTGAGATCCTTTTTTCTTTTAGGTCCCCAAGAATTCCCATCCCTCCATGGTTTAAATAATAGGTAGGTCATTATATTATAAAGGAAGTTGTGAAGAAAGGGAACTGGCAATAACATTGCTTGTAAGTAAGTTCCCCCCTCCCCCGCCCCAGGAATCTAAGATTTTATTTTGTATATGGCAAGCATTTTTTCTTGAATTCAGTTGTAACTGGTACACAACAAAATGTAAATATGTACTATTCGGTATAGGATGTTTTGGGGGTGTGCTGTTGAAAATTTGGTTTTACTTTATAAAGTTGACCACACTTTCTTGTCTGTTAATCTTAGTAAATTATGATCATCTTTGTGTAAAAATTTGGTCTGCTTTTATTACTTATCAAACTTGCAGTATAAGTGATGATACAATGAAGATCTTTTCTCAGGTTTCTTCTAGCCATCTCATCCATGAGGTTTTTCTTTCCTCTGAGATACCTGAATTTTACTTTAATATGATACAAGACTAAGATTAAGAGGAAACTTTATTTTCTCATTTTTGGGAGAAGAAAAAAATAGAAATGTGTCATTAATGAGGACTGATTGATTCAGAGTTTTTGTGCAAAGTTTGACCTTTGAGCTCTTTGTTCCCATGTCCTTATTTTAATTCAAACCTTATACTCAATTCTCAACTCCTTGTTTTTAGGTGGTTAGCCAACGTTTCCCTCAGAACAGCATTGGTGCAGTAGGAAGTGCCATGTTCCTCAGATTTATCAATCCTGCCATTGTCTCACCGTATGAAGCAGGGATTTTAGATAAAAAGCCACCACCTAGAATCGAAAGGGGCTTGAAGTTAATGTCAAAGGTGAATTATTTTGATAATCTAGCTATCTTAAATTCCCCTTCCAACTGAATTTTTAGCTTTTCTTATAGTACTTCCTCTTACATTTATATTTTAAATTCCCTATGGTTTTCACTTATGTGTTTTTGTTTTATTTTGTTTAAATTAGTAAGGAATTCATTAGTTAGGTACCTGATGGACCTTATTTTCATGAGAAAACATTTTATTACAGTAAATGTCTTGTGTTATGAAGATCATTATTTGTGTAATCATTCTAGACATTCTGAAACAGACTAGAAAGTAGGCTGTAGGATTTTTTATTTTAAAAGACATTAAACATTTTAATATGTATTTTTATATGTAAATATAGTAATTATATTTTAGAAGAATAGAAACACTACCTAAAATTTATAAAATGAGGAGTGATTGAATTTAACTACTAGCAGAAATTTTATCAATGAGAAAATTCATATTTTTAAAGAATATATTAATGTATAGACTTCATACAATAAATAATCTGATTATTTATAACCCTGTTTTAATGTGTAGATACTTCAGAGTATAGCCAATCATGTTCTCTTCACCAAAGAAGAGCACATGCGGCCTTTCAATGATTTTGTGAAAAGCAACTTTGATGCAGCACGAAGGTAAGCTACCTGCCACGTATTCAGTTACTCTGTTTGAATCAAATATTTTCAGTTTCATTTAAGTCCATGTACTTGTTTTACATGAAGTTTCTGTGTAGGTTTTTTCTCTTCCTGCTCTAGGTCAAGACATAACTTGTCTTATTTTACTGTAAAAGTCATGAAATAAATTAATATTTTTTATAATTTGGTAGTGATTTTCATATTTGAAAACCAAGAGCGATTTTTGACATGTCTAGTTAAATAAAGGATTTGAGGATGTTACAATAAGGGGAAAGGAAGAAGTAGGATTCCTTTTATTTAAAACTAAAGCCAAACTGGTATCAATAATACATAACAATGTATAGTGAGGATTTTTTTTTGATGTTAGAATATTTGTGATACTTACATTTGGAAGTGTATCTAAACTAAAATGTTATTTAAACCAAGTAATGCAGACACGTAAGATTTTGTTCATGAGTAACTGAATGTTATGGAAATCTAGCAGACAAGTTTTCTAAAATCATAACTATTTTACTTTATTTCTCTGAGTTATTGATTTATCTGTAAAGTAGTGATAAACTGTTTGCCTGAGTTGTTTTTAGAGGGAAAAAAATGAGATAATTAATAAGAAAGTGCTTTGTAAATTTATGTCTAGAATTCTGCTTTTCATGCAGTGTGAATCTAATTGATCCTCATCATCTAAACTAGACTTGTACAACTCTTTCTTCCAGCTTATCATCATTGTAGTTGTTACTGACTTTTTTGTGTTAGGGAAATTGGAGTTTAAAAGGTGTATTGCTGAAGTAAAAGCCATAATGGAAAGAGAGTAAATATCAGCACAGGATTTATATTCTGGCAGACTGAATACCCATAGAAAGTTAAAAGGATCAAAGTTTTAATCCTGGCTCTGACCTAACAGGCTATATATTTTTGGGGAGGTCTTTTGTCTGGACCTTCATTTCCTTGTCTGTAGCCTCTTTCCAAAGTCCATCTCAATTTTGTTGTTCTCTAACTTCAGAGCCTACTCTGAAGCTGATGCCAGGGATTAGAAATGGAAAGCCAACTTTCTCCTTGTCTGTCTTGCTTTGTCTAATGACAAGTCACATTGTGTGAACAAGCCCTCCACATTTGTAATCTCAGTTATTTCACAAAATTGCATCATATTTATTTAATTCAAACATAAGTCTGGGTGTATCTGGTGTTGGAAATTCTAATGATTTTGCATTTTTGAAGGTTTTTCCTTGATATAGCATCTGATTGTCCTACAAGTGATGCAGTAAATCATAGTCTTTCCTTCATCAGTGATGGCAATGTGCTTGCTTTACATCGTCTACTTTGGAACAATCAGGAGAAAATTGGCCAGTATCTTTCCAGCAACAGGTAAAATTTCCCAGTCATGGGGATAGTGAACACTCTCCATTTAAAGTTAGATTAATAAAATTATTGGTCATGAATAGTGCTTTTTACTTTGCATCTTCTTGGACTAAGAATTACAGTTTAGAAAGAGAAAGATTCTTTTTTCAAAAAAAAAAATGCAAACAAAAGGTTAAGTCATATTAAGTCAACAAACCTACTTAGGTTCCAGTGATGATGATGATGATGATTTTTTTTTTTAAATCAAGTTAAGAAATCACAAATTAGCTCTTTGGGTTTTTATGGCTTGCAAATTGTCATAGACCCAAAGAAGTTTAAATTAGCATTGGCGTTTGAATCTGAAGGACAGCTAATTCTTAGGAGTTTAGTAACTGAAATATTGTCAGTGTTTTAATTCTATGATGAACTCATTTGTGATACTCTAAGTATATGCAAATAAAGCTTTATATAGAAAATACTGGCCTGGCACCGTGGCTCACACCTGTAATCTCAGCACTTTGGGAGGCTGAGTCGGGTGGATCACCTGAGGTCAAGAGTTCAAGATCAGCCTGGCCAACATGGTGAAATACCGTCTCTACTAAAAATACAAAAATTAGCTGGGCGTGGTACCTGTAATCCCAGCTACTTGAGAGGCTGAGGCAGGAGAAAGTTGCAGTGAATTGAGATCACGCCATTGAGCTCCAGCCTGGGCCACAAGAGTGAAACTCTGTCTCAGAGAAAAAAAAATTAAAAATTGAAATTAATTTGGGCATTGTTTCATTAGCTCTTATTAGTCTCTTGCGTAACATAAATTACTTGCTGTCCCATCTAGTTATATACATTTGTAAAGAGACCAAATTCCTGTGTATGAGGCATTCCTTAAAAAGGAAAAATGAGTCCAAATTATTTTTAAATGCCAATAAAAATGGTTAGTACTTTCATGGGAAAAGTAGCAGACTATGGAGCTAAGGCTAAGCAACTGGGAGATGGGAGTTTAAATAACAGGGCATTTTAACCTTTTATGAATTATTAATGGATTGAAGTAGACATGGGCCTGAGGTCTTTTTGTTGCTGTTTACGAATCAACAGAGACCACCAGCTGACAGTAAAAGGAAAAGCAACCAGTGACAAGTTAAAGAAATATGTACTGCCTAAATGTGAACTGCTACGTTTTTTTCTAAGTAGTTTGCTATATCTAGGGATCATAAAGCTGTTGGAAGACGACCTTTTGATAAGATGGCAACACTTCTTGCATACCTGGGTCCTCCAGAGCACAAACCTGTGGCAGATACACACTGGTCCAGCCTTAACCTTACCAGTTCAAAGTTTGAGGAATTTATGACTAGGTAAAGTACAACTTGAAATGTTGATTGCTTTCTGTTTGGTTGACAAGCAGAATTTACCACCAGACCACTTGTTAATTATGATAGAAGACTATGAGGAAAGATGTATCTAATAATCGCATTGCCATGTTTGGGGATCCAACTTTTCTCCTATGCTATATATTACTTATATAGAGAGAGTATGTTTTATATGTTGTTATAAAAATAGTAACATCACATTTTATCATCTTGCTTTCATATGTTTTCACATTTAATACTTACCAGGGAGTGAAGACAACATTATTTTCAAATTATAGTTAAGGAAAAAGCAGCTCAATGTGAATAATTGACTTGCTTAAGATTCCATGTCTGATTCATAGATCTTTCGGTTTTAAGTGTAGGACTTTTTTCTACTACACTATAGCATTTTTCAGAACCTCATGAAGGTTAATGGTTTTAACTTCTTTTAGATTAAGTTTCAGAAAATATAGTATACTTCAGTATTGCTATAAAATTTCAGTGGACATTTGTTTTGAATCCCATTTAGCGGAATTTGGTTAGTGAACCAATGGAATCCCATTTAGTGGAATTTAGTTAATGAACCAAAAGATCCTCATTGTTAGACACTTACTCTATAATGATACAGTGAGAGTAGCCTGCTGAATCTTTTAAAGTACCTTTCACAGTACTTTTTGCTTAGTAAGTACGCCATGGTGTCTGTGAGTTGAGTGTTAATATTCGTAGTATGTGCCAAAACAGAAAGAACTAAACAGAATCTGATGATGAGAAGTTAAAGATTTGTATATAATATGCCTTGAATTATAATTGCCTGTTGTGTTACATATAGGTCATAGTTTGGTACATATAACTCCAAACCATTGATACTGTTAAAAGAATGTATGAATATATGAAAGAATGTATAAACAGAATGTAGGGGTATATAATGTCTTTTCCAAATTAATTTTTAACTCTATTAAATTTTTCTCAGTGTAACAAATGTTTATTCCTATGTAATTAAGGGCATATTTTCCATATAGAATATTCACATTACCTAATTGAAAATTATATAATACAAAAATATAAAACTATTTTTAGGCCAGGCATGGTGGCTAATACCTGTAATCCCAACATTTTGAGAGGCCAGGGTAGGAGAATCACTTGAGGCCAGGAGTTCAAGACTAGCCTGGGCCACATTGTGAGACCTTGTCTTAATTAAATAAATAAGTAAGTTGGGCACAGTGGCTTATGCTTGTAATCCCAGCATTTTGGGAAGAGGATTGCTTGAGCCCAGCCTGGGCAACATAGTAAGAGTCTGTCTCTACAAATAATAAAATATTAACCAGGTGTGGTGGTGCACACCTGTAGTCCCAGCTACCTGGGAGGCTGAGGTTGGAGGATTGCTTGAGTCTGGGAGGTTGAGACTGCAATGAACTGCACTGTGATTGTACCACTGCATTCCAGCCTAGGTGACAGAACGAGACCTTAACTATAAATAAAGAAATAACTAAAAATATAAATTAAGTAAAAAAGAAATATAAATAAATATATATAAATATAAAAATGAATAAATCAAAACAAAGTTTTCAAATTGAACACCACTGATGGCATCCTAGCCATTTTTCTATTTTTCTAGGAATTTTTTTTTTTAAGAGACAGGATTTCACCATATGGGCCAGGATGATCTTAATCTCCTGACCTCATGATCCATCCACCTCGGCCTCCCAAAGTGCTGGAATTACAAGCGTGAGCCACTGCACCTGGCCTGGAAAATATTTTTATTACTCCTTTTTTTCCTAAGATCCTATCTTCCCTTGCAAAGCACTCTTTTGTGCTTTTGAAGATTAAGTTATCTAATATATATATAATATACTTAGGACAGTATCTGGTACTTCTAAAGTGTTTAATAAATGTTAGATTTTATTTTTGTTTTAAATTCCCACTGATGCTCCTGGAGACCCATTTTCTTTTTTTAAAAAAATAAAGCTAGCTTTATAATCTTAGTTCTTAAAAAAACAATTAAATTACTCAGTATACAAACCTAAAGAAGAAAGTAACAAAATTAAAAATTGTTTATCCTCCCTTTTAGAAATAAAATTTGTTGAATAGCCTCCCAGTCATTTATCTATGCACATGTATATTTGTTTCTCCTATCAAATGATATCTAGATTGTTCCATTAATATTTTTTAAATGCTGGCCGGGCGCAGTGGCTCAAGCTTGTAATCCCAGCACTTTGGGAGGCCGAGGCGGGTGGATCACGAGGTCAAGAGATCGAGACCATCCTGGTCAACATGGTGAAACCCCATCTCTACTAAAAATACAAAAAATTAGCTGGGCATGGTGGCGCGTGCCTGTAATCCCAGCTACTCAGGAGGCTGAGGCAGGAGAATTGCTTGAACCCAGGAGGCGGAGGTGGCGGTGAGCCGAGATCGCGCGGTTGCACTCCAGCCTGGGTAACAAGAAGGAAACACCATCTCATGCTGCTGACCTGGTACCAGCAGCATGATGGGCTGAGCTAATACAATCTCCTTCCCAAGACACAAGACTCATAGAAATACTAGGTGTAAAAGAAAATATGTATACTTAAAAAAATTTAGACCAGGCATGGTGGCTTACACCTGTAGTCCCAGCACTTTGGGAGGCTGAAGCAGGTGGGTCACCTGAGGTCAGGAGTTGGGAGACAAGCCTGACCAACATGGTGAAATCCTATCTCTACTAAAAGCAAACAAACAAAAATAGCTGGATGTGCTGGTGGGAGCCTGTAATTCCAGCTACTCGGGAGATTGAGGTGGGAGATTTACTTGGACCTGGGAGGCAGAGGTTTCAATTAGCTGAGATTGCGCCACTGCATTTCAGCCTGGGCAACAAGGGCAAAACTCTGTCTCAAAAGAAAAAAGGAAAAAAAAAATTTTTTTTTAATTATAGCTGGAAGATAGTTTCCAGGCAGATTACCTAGTGTAAAGTCAGTACATATGGATAAAGAAATGGAAAATATGAAAAAGATTAAAAAATGCAAAAGATAGAATGCTAAGATCCAACATATGTCTAGTAGGTGTTCCCTAGAAATTGAGCTCAGTGAGAATGGAAAGAAGTAATATTTGAAAAGATAATGGAAGAACGTTTTCTAGAGTTGATGAATGACATGAATCTTGAGATTAAAGAAGCACACTAAGTCTTGAGCAGACTATATAAAAATTAAGCCAGGCCTTTTCAGAAATATATTTTAATACATATGGGAACATCATATATGATAAAAGTTATATTCAAAATCACGAAGATTAGGATGAACTTTCAATAAATGGTATTGCTACAACTCAGTAATAATCTGGAAAAATGTTTTCATACCATTTATGGGGATAAACTCCCATAAATCAAAGAAAAAAAAACATGAGCAAAACAAGACCTTTTTCATTCATTCAAAATCCATAAACTAGAAAGGAAAAGATTGATAAAATGAATTTATTACAAAATCATAAACTTGTGTCTGGGGCAAAAATGTCATGAGTAAAAACAATCCTATGGTTAATATCCTTGTCCAATAGTTCTCTGAGAATAGTCCTAAAAGTGCTTCTGTGGTTCAAAGAGTAGTATCTTGAAATTTTTGGCGCATGTTGCCAAATTAACCTTTAGTATATCTGTTGCTTTTAAAACATTTCTTCATTTTAGTATTTTATTGTTTATCCAATTATAGACTTTTTTTTTTACATACTCAGTAGGCAATATAAAGCCTCAGAGTTACTCTGTTCTTTTTCTTTTAGGCATCAGGTACATGAAAAAGAAGAGTTCAAGGCTTTGAAAACGTTAAGTATTTTCTACCAAGCTGGGACTTCCAAAGCTGGGAATCCTATTTTTTATTATGTTGCACGGAGGTAAGAAATACTATGTTTTGGTGTCTCTAAACAGAGTACTTTAAATGATAGCAAATATAGAAAGATGGCCAGTTTGGTTTTTCCCATTTGACTTAACAGGAATTGAAGACAAGTTTACCTGGGAGCACATAGCAGGGTAAATAGTCTGCCTTTCCTAAAATGGTGTTCAGTATCTAGTAACTGCTTTTCAGACTACCCATTTCATATTGATATTTCTGTCCTACATCATTTTTTAAAATACTGCCTACAAAGGTTTAATTACCAAAAGTTAAAAATCCACAAAGAATCTTTTATTTCAAGTATATTCTGATTAAATAGTACTCACAACATGATAACCAGGAACTTTTTTTTCAAGAAGAAATTAAACTGTAAGAGCCTATTTCTGAGAACTTTTAATAATATGCTATGTAAGACAGCATCAGGGTAATTTAGAAAGTAATTCAAGGGAGTGGTGGGAAGTCTCTGTAAAGATGGTGCAAGGGGTGGCCTGGAAAATGGTGCTTGTTCATGCTGCCCTCAGTCAAGGCTAGTTCCTGAAAGCCTTCCTGGAAATGTTGTGAGCTCCTCCTAATAATAGGTATGATGCTTGCATTGCTTTCCCTACCATTGTTTTTGCCTTTTTTTTTTTGCCTCATTTTACCTTCCTTTTGAAAACTCATCTATGACATTATTTGGTCAGTTTTACTTCTTTCCATTTACCATGACATACATTCATGATAGTTGAGCCTTAGAGACAACATGATCCATAGAGAGACCACTGACTTTGGAATCTCAAGGACCATGTTTAGACTTAGTTCTGCTGCCCATTAGCTATAGACCTAATCTTTTCCAGTTTCCTGAATTTAACAGTATTTAACATCCATGACCATTAAGTTAGTAGAATTACATTGTTAGGCAACTTGCTGGCCACATGAGGTTGAGAAATAGTGGATGGTGAAAGAACATCAGTGGAAGATGGGAAACTTGTCTAATTGGGTCATTCAGATAGCCTTAAGACGAAAAAGTCCAAAGGAATGGGGTATTAGGAAATCAAGAAAGTAAGAAAATTGCATTGAACCTTCCCTTACCGCCTACCCTTTAACAACTCTAACCCCTCCTCATCTTCTCATGGAAGGCCTCTCTCCAGCTCTCATCTCAGTTGCCATTTCTAAATTGCCTAAGATCATTTTAATTTTCTTTTGCACTTGAGATGAACCATATTTGTATTCTAACCCCATCCTTTAATACAACCAGAGTATTTTTACTGTCCCTATTTTGTCTAAGTAAGCATACATTGGTGAGGGAGGTAGAAGACATGTGTCCCGCTCCTCTTTAAAATCTTATTAGTTTACAAATAGCAAAGATGTCTGGAAAACAAAGCTGGGTTGTTTTTTTTTTCAGGATCAGAAACTATTATGTTTGTATTCCTTCTTTGTGGTGATCTAGAAGAAGCTAAAGGAAAGCACATTGGACCTGTTGCAGATCCCTCAGTGAGATTCAGTCAGCAGGGTTTCCATGAAACCTGTTGAGTCTTATGGCTTGAGAGTGCTAAGGACTCTCAGCTCTGGCTGGAGTGCAATGGTGTGATCTCTGCTCACTACAACCTCTGCTTCCTGGGTTCAGGTGATCCTCTTGCCTCAGCCTCCCGAGTAGCTGGGATTACTGCACTACCATGCACCACCTTGCCTAGCTAATTTTGTATTTTTAGTAAAGATGGGGTTTCACCACGTTGGCCAGGCTGGTCCCAAACTCCTGACTTCTGGTTATCTGCCTGCTTCAGCTTCCCAAACTGCTGAGGTTACATGTGTGAACCACTGTGCCTGGCCTTAGTTACATAATCTTAGATAAGTTTATTTTTCCAAAATCTGTTGCTTCATATGTTAAAGCTGGGGTGTGTGCTTATAAAAACTGTCTGTGTTTCCTATGAAGTGTTTTGTGACCTCTAAAGTTGTGTAAGGAGTAAATTTGGGATTTTCTTTCTTTCTTTCTTGGGGTCATATGGCCCTGTCACTTTCAGATTTTCAGTCCTTTTAGTTTCTTGCTTAGACCTATTGGAGCTCCTCCTGGCCTTCATTTTCACCTGGTGTGAGGCCTAGCTCCAGGACAGATGAGTACACAGTACATCAGAGCAGAACATCCATGTACTCCATTATGAAGGTCTTGTCTGTCTGTATGCCATCAGCCTTGTCAAAGAGCACTTGGGTTTGACTTCTCTTTTGTTATTCCTGTGTTTCTGTGGCTTAGACTACTATGTATTAAATAATGCTTTTTGAATTGTGGATTTTCCAATCTCCTTATGTAGTCCACAGACATGTCCAAAACTTAATTCAATATACCTTCAACCTCCTCTTTGCACCATATTTCTCTTCTTCAGTAGCATCATCATCCCTTCTAGTTCCCCATCTATAAACCTAATCATTTAAAATTCTTTCCTCTTACTTCTTTTATCTTCCTCTTTGTTAGTCACCAAATCTTGATTTTACTTGTGAGATCCTGGGCAGTCAATTAAGTTGTTTTAGTTAGGCTTTTATTGCAAAGCAGTCATTTGTATTTTCTCAAGGATAGTTCTTAGGAAAAGCATGAATTAGAGCAGAGCCTGCCCAGATATAGAGGGAACTAGATAGCTCTGGGTTCTGGAACTGGCTACGCTCTTTGACTGTCTCTTGGTTTTGTACTCAACTCTACCTCATAATTTTCATCTTTCTGTATCCTTCCAGCTTTTGCCCCAGCTTTTGCTTTATTATCTCAGTACTGCACATCTAAAATTCCAGAAAGAAAATGTGATTCAGCTAAAAAGTATCTCTGTCCTACATCGTTTTTTAAAATACTAACTACAAAGGATTAGCAGAACCTTTAATGTTAGGTGCTGGCCAGCCAGTTGATTTCTGGCTGCTCCTAAATCCAGTATGTGCTCCTGTCCCAGCAGTCATGTGATTCAAATGTTACCACTCGGTGCTGTTTCTTCATTAGGGAGTTGTTCTTAGGTACTTTTTTTTTATTATTACTATTATTATTATTATTGAGACAGGGTGTACTCTGTTGCCTAGGCTGGAGTGCAGTGGTACTACCATGGCTCACTGCAGCTTCTAGCTCCCGGGCTCAAACAATCCTCCTGCCTCGTACCCCCAAGTAGCTGGGACTACAGGTGTGCGCCACCACACCCGGCTAATTTATTTTTTATTTATTTATTTGTAGAGATGAGGTCTTGCTATGTGGCCCAGGCTGGGCTTGAACTCTTGGACTCAATCAGTCCTCCTGCCTCGGCCTCCTAAATTGATGGGATTACAGGTGTGAGCCACCATGCCTGGCCTAATTTTTTTTTTTTTTTAGTTTGATCTTAATGGTCTAATACTACCATTAGGTACCTTGGCAGTGTCTTTTGAAACCATTTCCCCTCACTGTATTGCTGGAACTCTCATTGTCTCTTACCTATACTAATGTAGCATTATTATCCTCTTCCTTCATCCCGAGATGACTCCTTCCAGGTCACCGTAACATTTCTTCTGGAGCCAGTTTTCAGTACAAAGCTTGTCTTTCCCATTGACTCCCTATATAAAGTCCAAGTTCTGTAGTCAGACAGGCAAGGTAATTTTGGCCTCATTTACTTTTCTGATCTTTTCCTGCTAACCCATCCCATATACTTATGCTCTTGCCTATATAGTAAAGTAGCATAATACAAGGACATTGTTGCAACATTGTTTATATGGTGGCAACAAAAAGGAAAACAATAGAGCTGTGTTTTAAAAGGAGAATTGTTGAATAAATGATGATACATTATGTTAGGAAATAATGCAATGTGTTAATTTTGCTTGTTACAAGTGACAGAAATGCAATTCAAATTTATGTGTGCCAAAAAGGAATTTATTGACTCATGTACCTAAGAAAATCAAGAAATGTACTAGTTTCTTGCATGACTAGATGCAGAGCTTTGAACAATATCATCTGGAGAACATCTATCTTCTCTGGCTCTTGACTCTATTTTCTGTGTGTTGGTTTTATTCCCAAGCTGCTCCTCCCAAGCTGTGGCCAGCAGTGGTTTGTGTTCTCCCACCTTAACAATCTCAGTGGAAAAACACCCCTTCCCCAGTTTTGTGGTTTCAGCAAAAGTGGTTGGTCTTATTGGCCTGGCGTGAGTCATGTGCCAATTCCTAAGGCAATCACTATGGCAAGGGGGATGGCACTTCTTTGTTATCTAGGCCTAGATCATGTGCCCCTTCCTGGAACGCAGTGGTAAAGCCAACCCTGTCCAAACTGCATGAACTAAAAGATGGGCATGGGGGCAGGGTTTTCACAAAGGAAAATTGAATTGCTGTTACCAGAATGAGAAAAAATGAATACTGGGCAGGCAGAAGTAGCAGAAGTCCTCTACATGAAGCTTTAAAACGTCTGAGAAGGATGACTCTGACACTTATCTTATAAGGTACACGACAGTGTGTGTGTGCACCTGTACATGTGTATGTGTAGACTGAGAAATGTATGAAACTGTGCACATTAACCATTCACATTGCTTATCTCAGAAGTATGATTGGAGGAGATAGAGAACCAATTTAATATTTCTGCTTATATCTCTATATTGTTTGGCTTGCCAGGAGCATGCATTATTTTTGTAAGAATAATTAAAAATATTAAAACCCCAAAGAGGCTGAGCGTGGTGGCTCACACCTGTAATCCCAGCACTTTGGGAGGCTGAGGCAGGGAAATCACTTGAGCTCAGGAGTTCGAGGTGGTCTTATTGACCTGGCGTGAGTCATGTGCCAATTCCTAAGGCAATCACTATGGCAAGGGGGATGGCATTTCTTTCAGCCTGGGCAACATGGTGAAACCCTGTCACTACAGAAAAATACAAAAATCCACCAGACATGGTGGCATACACCTGTAGCCCTGGCTACTCAGGAGGCTGAAGGGGGAGGATCACTTGAGCCTGGGAGGTCAAGGCTGTAGTGAGCCAAGATCACACCACTGTACTCCATCCTGGGCAACAGAGTGAGAGGCCCTATCACAAATAATAAATTCAAAAAAAAAATAACAAAAAAAAACCCCTCAAGTTACAATGAAGACTTTTCCTCTTAGAAATATTGTGATACTGGCAATTGCTTTTTGGGTGGTAGGAAATGTTAGTTATTATCATTATTTACTACTAAGTACTTTCTCTGTATCAGGAAACTGCATATTACATACTTTCTCATTTAATCTACATAATAACCTTCTGAGATTCTATTATTAACAGTTAACTGATGTGCGTACAAACTGAAACCCAAACCTGAAACCCAAACCTGGCTATCAGAATGATCTGGAGCATTAAAACAAACATATCCCCAGCCCCCACACTGAAATTCCATATTAAAATCTCAGGGGCAGGGCCTTATTTATATATTTAACAGGAACTCCAGGTGATTCATTTATTACTAAAGTTTGTTTGGGAATCTCACTGGGTCATGCATTTAATCCATGGTAGCACAACTAGTAAGATCAGAATAGGGTTTCAATCCTAAGCCAAAACTCTTAACAAAAGCACTATTAATCACATTATTACTACTATTATAATTTTATGCTTGGGGTAAATCAGCTTTTGTAGATGAGCATGAAAATCTAACCAACAGCTAGGAGATATATTCCTTTGGGGAAAATAAGTTATGAATTCCAGGCATCTGATTTACAAATTATTTTTTGAAACATAAGACAAGGGTTTACTTAATATAAAATAATCCTGTCATTTGTGCAACAGCATTATACATTACAAAGGTTAGCAGAATTGTCACCTTTTCTTAGTGAAATGACATATTACTATTACACATTCATGAAATATGTTAATACAGATGGGTGTGTTATTTTGTAGAGTACTGTAGTTTATCAGATTAGCATTTTTTGTCTTTTTAATAAAAAATAGAATATAGACTGGGTGCAGTGGCTCATACCTGTAATCCCAGCACTTTGGGAAGCCGAAGCAGGTGTGGATCACCTGAGGTCAGGAGTTTGAGACCAGCCTGGCCAACATGGTGAAACCCCTCTACTAAATATACAACAAATTAGCCGGGTGGGCATGTCTGTAACCCCAGCTAATCTGGAGACTGAGGCAGGAGAGTTGCTTGAACCTGGGAAATGAAGATTGCAGTGAGCTGAGGTCATGCCATTGCACTCCAGCCTGGGCAACTGGAGTGAATCTCTATCTCAAAAAATAAAATACAAAAAACAACTTCCCCCACACCACTCCTTATCCCACACTCCCATAACCTGTCCTTCATCTATTTCTCTCTCTCTCCCTCACTCACTCGTTCACTTTTATGCGTGTGCTCTCACACACACACCCTACCTATATAATTTCTTCTCTTACACCTTTAATATAAATATCTGAGTTTCAGTTCAGTTTTGCAGACATTTAAAAGCCACACATGGTATTTTGCTTGTTTCAGCATTTAATAAGGTAGTACATACCTTTTTCATATGGAAGGAAACCATCATATTAAGGTAATATTTAAACTTAGACAATTATAATTTGCAAACAACCAAATCAAGCTAGGATAATGATAATTTTTTTTTATATAATTTCTTAAGTAGTAAGTTGAAGTAAGTGATAATTTTCTAATGTGCTTGTCATTCAGCAGGTAATAAGAAACAGATAAGAATGCAGGCAATTGAAGTTCACTTCAGCCTGAGTGCAAGTGTACACAAAACAGCAAAAATATTACATAGAAAATAAGATGAATGTTGTCCATTGGATTGAGTATGGTGCTACCATTTCTCACAGTGTTCATATTCTTACTTGTGGCTATCTTTGGGGTCACTGCTGTATTTAGACTTGTCTTGAAATTTTGAGTTGTCTTGGGATTCGATGTCATTTTGAGATTTGGGCTTGTCCTGGGATTGGGGTTCATTCTGGGAGTGGTGCTGGTCCTCAGATTTGGTCTGGTGCCGGGATTCAGACTTGACCCAGGAGTGGATACTGCCACAGAGTTTGAGGTTGTTGATGTTGAAGTTGTTCCCAGAATATTATTAACAAACAGGAGCAGACCAACCAGTGATAGCTTGAGCATGATCCTCCTATGTTTCAAAATAATTATTTAATTTTAATCGAACACTTGGATCACAAATAGGCAAGCATATATCCTTCATTGTGTTTATCAGTACATTCATGTTAGGTAAATGTTTGCTTTTTCACTATTAGTGAACAAATAAAAAACTTCCCTTTCTTTGTCACCAACATCTGCTGACAGAAAACCTACTTTCTATCAAGGGCTACCAACTGAAGGCAAAAACAAGCCAAAGACTAGAAAAGAGCTTAATGGGCATTTTTCTATTTAAAAAAGGAAAAAAAATAAAACATTAGACATTCAGTACAATACATATCAGGGCTTTAGATCAGTATGGAGTAGAGTAGTTGGCAAAGGCTGAGAGACAATTTGGGACAGGAGAGCAACAAAAGAAATAATGAAATAAATATTGGCATTTTCTTGATTTCTTATGACCTTTATTCCAACAATTTAAGGTTTTAGTTTAGGTCGCAAATTAGGATATTACTTCTAAATATTTACTCCAAAGACTAAAAAGATTAAACCAAAGGATTTCCCTGGTTCTGGGATGAGGTTTTCTTCGTTGAAAAAAAACTAGTTAGAAAAGTTCATAGTTTTAAGATTTAGAAATGAATAAAACCAACTCCTTCATTTTGCAAATAGGCTCAGACAAGGGGTATAACTTGCCTGAGGGTACATATCTAAAAATGGCCTAAGCTAGAACTGAAGTCTATGACTTAAAGCCCAAACTTTAACTGTAGAACTCTAACATATGTGTTAAAATTTACATTTGATGCTAATAAGTAATTGAGAACATTTCAAATTAAAGTTACCTTTTGATATTTTTCTTTGAAGAGTAAGAATTCAGTCTTTCTCCAGTGTCTGTGGGGAATCTGATTTCTCACTCACTGCATGCTATTTAAATATAATTATTGGGGAAGTCACATGCTCTAAACTTGACCTGCCATTTGCTGTTTGGAAGAATCCAACTGAGTGTTTCCAAAGCACCAAGTATAAACAGATGGACTTTGGCAGAGATTAAATAATTCAAATAAAGTTTCTAAAATCTGCTTGAAGAATCCAGTGAATAGCATTTGTTATTCCTCTTATCCATGTATAAATTGTATAACATTAATAAATTATTTAACTGCATTGACTCTAACTCGATGAATATACTATTTTGCCTGCTGTGATTATTATGATTTAAAACCAAGTAAGTATGTTAAAGATGTCTATTTTTCCTTAGAACATCTGTATGTATGTTTATAGGGTAGTTTCTACCCATGGTTATTTTGAAGTTTAAAAAATAATTCAGTAATATATCATTTCAGGTATTTAATTTTTGGTAAATAAAGTAACCTTAGAAGTTAAACTTTATTAATATTAAACTTAAGGATTGCATATGAAAGTGATACTTTTCCATACTGAGTTTACAAACTTTTGTGTTTATGTTTTTTTAAATGTATTAAACCACTCACTTTGAAGCACATAAAGTAAATTTTTTAAAGGAATTTTGTCTTTTGGTCAGCCATTTTCCATGATAATTAGCATATAGGGAAGTTGGGTTGTATTGTGCTAATGTTTTCATCACATTGTCCAGCACACTTTAAAAATTGCAGGGCTGCGAACAATGGTGTTGACATACAAGGAAATTGCTACATAAACGGCAGAAGTACAAGTCAGTACATGTTCCTGACTTATTGTACTACGCTATGAAGACTGCTTTCCCCCTGAATGAATAAACCATGAATAGGACCATGCTTGCTAAATCTTATTTATATGGTACACATAACCTCACTTAACTGGAGGTTAGTGTGGTCAGATCTAAGAAGTAAACAACAACAAAAAAAGCTTCTTGGCAACCCGAACACGTATTATAAATCAGAGTACTATAGTAATTTACAGGAGTTTGGCATTGTTCTCCCTCTTCCCACTTGCTCATTCTGTGGATTTCTTTGGGGGGTATATAGTTGATAATAGTAATAGAAATGTTTTGAACTTGAGCAAACTGTCGCTTACTCTGTTTGTCTAATCCTGACATTTTGAGTACTGTACTTACACAACTCTTGATTGATGCTTCAAACACTTTAGTCTCAACTTGTTTAAAATTCAAAAGTTAGCATTTTCTCCTTCCTATTTTTCTATCTAGATATATCCTTCTCAGGATCTCTTGGTTAATTGTATCATCACGTAGCCAAATATTTTTCCAAACTTGGATTTCTCATTATCTTCTCTTTCTTATTGTGCCCCAGGCCTCTTGATGATGATTAAGTAAAATTTAATTCTATTCAGTTCTCAAATGCTCCCAAACAAACAGAAATCATTTGCCATTATTCAGGTCTTCAAATACCCCCAACTTTGTATCTTTGTGCAGCCTCCCCGACTTCCCCAAAGTATAATAATATCCACCTCTTATCCTAAGTTTCACTTTCCAGAGTTTCAGTTACCCATGGTCCACCATGGTCTGAAAATACTGAATGGAAAATTACAGAAATAAACAATTCATAAGTTAGATGTGTCCTGAAAAGGTTAATAGTAGCCCAGCACTGTGTCACAGTGCTGCATCAGTCACTTCACTTCATCTTACCATGTAGGCATTTTGTCATATCACATCATCACAAGAAGGGCTAGTATAGTATATACAAAAAGATAGTTTGAGAAAGATACCAGGTGCACATAGCTTTTATTATAGTATATTGCTATGACTTCTATTTTATTATTGTTTTTAATCTCTTACTGGCCTAATTTATAATTGAACTTTATCACAGGTATATATGTATAGAAAAAAACATAGCATATGTTGGGTTCAATACTATTTCATGGTTTCAGGTGTCCCTGAGGGATCTTGGAACATATCCCCCACAGTTAAGGGGTACTACTGTACTTTCCTTCCTCATTCAAAATTGTGCTGTTTCTTTAAGGTTCACTCATGTTAGCACCTTTTATGGGATCCTTCCCTAATTCTTTACATCAGAATCAGTGATTTTAATACTTACCAGAGTCTCTTTTTCACTAAAGAAACTAAATCTTCCACCATATTTTGGCTTTTTTGTGGTAAGATACCACTTGTATTCTTTCTATTCCCTCTACCTTCTAATATAGTGAGTGCTTATTAAAAAAAAAAAAAAAAGACACAGGGCCCGGCATGGTGGCTCATGCCTGTAATTGCAGCACTTTGGGAGGCTGAGGCGGGCAGATCATGAGTTTAGGAGATCGAGACCATCCTGGCTAACATGGTGAAACCCCATCTCTACTAAAAATGCAAAAAATTAGCCAAGCATGGTGGCATGTGCCTGTAGTCCCACCTACTCAGGAGGCTAGGACAAGAGAATCGCTTGAACCTGGGAGGTGGAGGTGAGCGGGGATCACTCCACTGCACTCCATCCTGGGCCACAGAGCGAGACTCCATCTCAAAAAAAGAAAAAAAAAGGACACAATAAGTATTGGAACTAATTGAAATACCTCCTATTTCTCCATGTCTGAGGGCTGGTATCGTTAATGATGTCATTGATGATATTTGGTCATTTGCAGTTTTCCCTTTACATTAGCATAAAATTTCTCTACTTTTCTGGCTGCTGTTTTGAGAGGATTTCTTCATTTGTACAATGTGGATGATAATGCACATTAATAATCCTTTGTCTATAATCTTAAATCCAAAATCCTCCAAAAACTGTAAGTTTTATCAAAAAAAATGTTGACACCAAAATTTATTTGGTGCAGATACCTCACCTGTATTGGTATGAGGTTTTTAGCTGTCTTTATTTGTTCCATTTAGTGTGGATATTAATGTTTCACTGCAGAAATATTGATGAGATTGATTTTGGGGTGCTATTGCAGTTTTTACTGGAGTTTACATAATACATGATAAAACGTACTTAGCATATTCATGTTTCTCTTCTTCCTTCTGAGCACAGCACCATGCTACTCTTAGCATTCTTTTCTTTTCTTTTTTGAGATGGAGTCTTGCCCTGTCGCCAGTTGGAATGCAGTGGGGTTATCTCGGCTTGCTGCAATCTCTGCCTCCCAGATTCAAGCAATTCTCCTGCCTCAGTCTCCTGAAAAGCTGAAATTACAAGCACATGCCCCCCATGCCCAGCTAATTTTTTTGTGTCTTCAGTAGAGACGGGGCTTCACCATGTTGGCCAGGCTGATCTTGAATGTCTGACCTCGTGATCTGCCCGTCTTGGCTTCCCAAAGTGCTGGGAATCAGATGTTAGCCACTGCTCCCGGCCTACTCTTAGCATTCTTATAGTTAGGTGGTACCATCTGACCGAGTTCTGGGCAGTGAAATCAGTTCCAATGATGTACAATTGACCTTTGAGCAACACTGGGGTTAGGGGAACTGAATTTCCACACAATCGAAAATCTACATATGACTCCCCAAAAGCTTAACTACTAATAGACTGTTGATCTGAAGCCTTTTGAAAACATAAATAGGTTAATATGTTTTGTAAGTTACATATATACTGTATTACTAGAGTAAAGTAAGCTCTAGAAAAGAAAATGTTACTCAGAAAATCATGAGGAAGAGAAAATATATTTACTGTTCTCTGAGTGGAAGTGGATTGTCATGAAGGTCTTCATCCTCATTATCTTCATGTTGGTGGAGGAAAGGAAGAGGGATTGGTCTTACTGTCTCAGCACTGGCAGAGGTGGAAGTAAACCACTATATAAGTGGATCTGCGTGGTTCAAACCCATGTTGTTTAAGGGTCAACTGTGTATCATTTGTAAGTCTTCTATTCTTGCTTTCTTTTATCAATGCCTGCTAGAAACAAGCGATTCAGTGGAGGGGGTATCCAAGACCCTAGAAGATGGCAAAATCATTAGAAGACATGATCTAAGAGAAATAAACTATTGTTGTCTTAGCCAGTAATAGTTTGGGATTATTTGTGACAGAAGTTAGTTTTTGCTGACTAATATAACTACGTGCTGGACATCTTGCCTTTGCCTCTTCAAATCCACTCTGTTCTTTATCCTGCTCTGTACCCTGAGAGGCTGACCTGTGTAGAGGGTATCATTGGGCTCCTCTACTCTCTGGCTTTCAGCTGGCCCATAGGGAATACAAGCAGAAGATTGGAGGGAAGAGTGAGAGTAAGGTTGGGATGTATATGTTTTTTAGCTCCCTTCCTGCAGGGTCTCTATGGGCTGGTGGTATCCCTCCATGCAGTATGGTTTTTGTTGGGTGACCCTCTCCACACAACCTACTCTGTGTCTGCTTTCTGATAACTGCTTCCTCCACTCACTACTTCAGGTATAGTGTCACACTGTCTCTTAGAGCTTCCTTGAACCTGCCTTCTTTATACATAGTCTCCTGTGTCCCGGTTTGAATGTGCCACCTGTTGCTTGCCACCTTAATTGCTACAAACAGTGTATACACTGTATCATCTTCCTAAAATCAACCAGGCATGATGGGATATGGGCCATAGTCCTAGCAACTCAGGAGGCTGAGGTAGGAGGATTGCTTGAGCCCAGGAATTTGAGGCTACAGTGAATTATGGATACTCTAACCTGGGCAACAGTAAGACCTTGTCTCTAAAAAACAAAAATTAAAATTAAATTTAAAACAGTGTCTTTCTTTATATATGTATATTACTTTCAATTGATATACTGTTTTGAGATGTTCAGAACTATCCACCCTCATATATTGATTCTTCCAAAATTTTTTCTTAAAAAAAAAAAAGTAATCTAATATCTGAAAATCATGAGAATGATCATAAACTTCATATGTTACTTTCCTGAGAATTTCAAATTGCAGTTTTAATATTTTACTTTAGAAACAGGATGAGTTTTCCCTTCTGTAACTTTTCTCTTTGGTCTTTTGGATTTTTTTTTTCTCATGAAAAGAAGATACAGATCTTTTCTTGAGTGATGTTTGCAGACTTTGCCTTGGCAGTGAAAGCATGTTTTATTTTTTTAGAAAATCCTATTAAGTTTTATGCCATGTCTGTGCTCATTGCACCTGTGCCTCATGTCTCATTTATTTATTTTACTTTTATTTTTTGAGACAGAGTTTTGATCTTGTCACCCAGGCTGGAGTGCAATGGTGTGATCTTGGCTCACTGCAACCTCCGCCTGGCAGGTTTAAGCAATTTTCCTGACTTAACCACCCGTAGCTGGGATTACAGGTGTCTGCCACCACGCCTGGCTAATTTTTTTTTTTTTTTGAGCCAGAGTCTCACTCTGTCACCAGGTTGGAGTGCAATGGCGTGATCTTGGCTCACTGCAGCCTCTACCTCCTTGGTTCAAGCGATTCTCCTGCCTCAGCCTCCTGAGTAGCTGGCATTACAGGTGCACGCTCCCACGCCTAGCTAATTTTTGTATTTTCAGTAGAGATGGGGTTTCACCACATTGGCCAGGCTGGTCTAGAACTCCTGACCTCAGTTGATCTGCCCACCTCAGCCTCCCAGAGTGCTGGGATTACAGGCATGGGCCACCATGCCCAGCCTTCATGTCTCGTTTAAATAGGACTTTTAAAAGTTTGAAATGAAGCCAGCTTCAGTGGCTTATACCTATAATCCCAGTGCTTTGGGAGGCCAAGGCAAGTGGATCACTTGAAGCCAGGGCTTCAAGACCAGCCTGGGCAACATCATGAGACCATGTCTCTACAAAATATACTTTTAAAAAAATTAGCCAGGTATTGTGGCACACATACCTGTATAGTCTTAGCTACTTGGGAAGCTGAGGCAGGAAGATTGCCTGAGCCCAGGACTTGAAGGTTTCAGTGAGCTGTCATCCCACCACTACACTTCAGCCAGTGAGGGAGACAGAGCGAGACACTGTCTCAAAAAAATTTTGTTTTGAAGAATTTATGTATGTTTGGTTATTTCTGAAAGCAGTTCAGCCCCTTGGCCATACCACCCTGAATGTACCTGATCTTGTCTGAAAGCAATTCAGGTTTTCAGGATTAAAATTTATATGCTACTAGGTTTTTAATCTATACTTTAAAGTAGAACATTTAAAGCATTTTAGTAGTGTATAGCACTGAAAAGTGGCTTTTTAATGTAGACAGTTACTTTTCAATAAACTATTTTGTAATCCTAGCAATTTGGGAGCCTGAGGTGGGAGGATTGGTTGAGTCCAGGAGGATTGGTTGAATCCAGGTGGGAGGATTGGTTGAATCCAGTCTGGGCAATAAAGGAGAATACCAGTTTCATTTAAAAAAAAAAAAAAAAAAGAGAGGAAGAAACGATTTGGAAGTTTTGTGAGCAATGGTTATGCAAAATGGCCATTGTTACAATAGGCCTAATTGTGAGTACCTGCTAAAATTGTATATAACCATGATTCTCTTCAATAGTAAAATGTCAGCCTCTTCATTTTAGGAATCGAATATAGGAAAAAGAACTTGTTTCTCCTTAGTTGTAAACATAGGTTCTAAGGGTGAATGTCCATCCTTGAGCAAGTTTGTCTTCCTAACGGTGTAATACTGTGAGTCAATTGTCTAATTTTGGCTTGTTGTCTCTTAT